TTCACAAATGAAGGTGGGTGTGACTGGCTTAAAAGTTGAAAGTTAAAATTAAGGGACTGACAAACTAATTTTCTTTTATGTTATGTAATAGAATGGAGTTATTCTCTTTATCCTTTCATAAAAGGGTGATATGATGGAAATTTTTATGCTAAAACCCTAGGCAGATTTACTCTTGTCATTAGTTCAAAGTGATCCCAGGCAAGTTGAAATATTTTTGGTTAGTTTGAATGAATCGGAGTCCAAACAAAGTACTGTCTAAGGTAAAAGGGATGGGCTTAAGAATCGGACAGGTTTGGTTTGGGTCATTGTTAACCTTTTATTCTCCAATAGTTAATACATAATGTAAAGGTAATAGAGCCATGTATCCCATAGGACAATTATGGTTTTAAATTTCAGTTATGGTTTTAGATTTCAGGCATTTAGCATGGAGCTTTGCACAGAGAACAACCAAACTGTATTAACAGCATTGCATTTTCCTTTCTTTTTTTGGACCTGTGACTTGCATTGGGTCCTGTCAGTTACAGCAGAGGGCCCGATTCTCTGACCAGCCCCACGCCTGTCTATTCCTTTGAAGTTAGAACTGAGGGAGAAAGTGCCACCTGGTCCTGAGGGAACCATTTCTCATATGCCTCTGACGCTTCATACAAGTGTCTGTGGAAGCTAAGGGACTTTTTTTTTTTTTTTTCTAGGATCTCCCACTGAGTTCAAAGGCTTCTCCTTCCAAAGAATATGAGCAATAGTCACCGTTTATGATGTCATATTTGCTGTAATGCTTTGTTGCAGTTGCTGAAATGTTCACAGCCTCTGTTATTGCTTAGATCTTAAAACAATTATAAGGGAAGTCAAATTCCATTCTCCAGTAAAATGCAGAACTAGGATCAGTCCCATTGTGCAATAAAAACATGAAAAGTTTGAAAACCACATCTATCTTTAGATGATTAAATTTACAAAGCCAATCCAGATTCTTTGATTTGACTGGGCCCCTATCCTGATATATTTAAAGTAAGCTAAATTAGCAACATTTTAATCTCTTCATATCTTAGCCATCGATTTTTCAATTTGCATTCAAACACAATATTAATGATAATATTGCCTCAAATCCAAAATGCTTGTGTGAGTTTTTTTCATTTTTCCACTCTGGAAATTGGGATATCTTATGATTAACATGTAAAATTATGTTGTTGTGGTTCTTTTCCATAAAAAGTGACCCCACACCAGTAGAAGATCTTTAGAGTGATAGAATCCTAGACTTAGGAAAATATGGAGTTCATATTTTGCTTTGTGTTGATATTACCTAAGGAGCATTTCTCTTACTTTGTGGTAACTTAATTATTGGCAAAAGAAACAAGTTTAATACATATGAAAGATAATCCAAAGGCTTCATTAAAATTTTTGGTGCACATGTATTTGTAGGTCAAACAGCCATTACTCTAGTTAATAGCTGGTCTTTATAACGTTTCAACATTGCTTTAAAAGTACCACAGATTTCCTCAAATATGATAGGAAATATTGTATTTGTAATAACAAGATTCCAAGGAGAGAAAAAGCCTCCCGAGCCAGTTTCCAGAAGCCCCTTTCCTCACTCTCAGGGCACCTCTTTCTTTTGAGGGTCCCTGTGAAAGCTAGGGTGGCAGCCATACCTGTCACCTGTCATTATCATGTGGTACAACACACCATTCAAAACCTGACATACATCCAGCACAGTGCTGGGTACACAGCAGTTTTTCAATAAACCTCTCCTGGCCCACTGATGTGAAATACAAAACTGTTCTAGTTTGGCATATATACAGCTTTTAACACTGGGAAAACTCAATTTTCTAAAAATGTTCTCTTTTCCTTTCTCTCCTTTCCCCACCTTTTTCCTACCAAAAATCCTGTGAGTTAGTTTTGGGACTAACTTTTACACAATTAAAAGCCACCAATAAATCAAATCCTTAAACATTCTTTTTCCCTTGAAATATAAAAAGTGGTGTTTGTTTATTTTTATTTTTTCTGTTTGTTGGTTTTTTTCCATTTTGGTAGCAAACACAAAAATCACCACACCTAAAGGTAGAATATCATTTTCAAAAAACATTTGATCTACCCAGTCTGTGTGGCTCAGTGACTGACCAAGGAACCAATAGTTCTCAAATTTGATTCCCAGTCAGGGCCTAGGCCCTGGTTGCGGCTCTATCCCCATTAAGGGCCATGATGTTCATGCCGGTCAATGATGTTCCTTTCTTGTCGATGTTTTTATCTGTTTCTCTCTCTCTAAAAGACAATAACAACATACTTAAAAAAACCCACATTTGATCAGAGATGGGAAACTCAATGGTAAAGTTAATAGAAATGAGTGAAATGTAATGTTAAAAGCTGACAATGTGAAACACTGATCAAGACCAATTAATAAATTACTGATAACCATTTTCTTTAGGAACACTGATAACCCTTAGCAGCTAGGTGACAAGTTGGTTTGCAAATATTTCAGTCAATTAAATTGAAAAACAATAACTCTTATGAAATGGGGAAGAAAAAAATGTAAGGAAAAAAAAAAAGAGGAAGAAAGAGAAGAAAGGAGGAAGGGGATTTGTCTTAAAATATTTAATCCAAATTTAAAAAAAAGAGATCCTGCTCTCTAAAACACTTTATATTCCAAAATAGGAAAAGAATTCTTTAAATGCTGACATTTGCAATAGGCACAGATCAACTATTAGATAATAAAAATCATTTTTATGCCAGTGGCCCACAAGTCGTGATTAAAAAGCAAACTTCAAATGCTACTAAATCCATTTTCTTATTTGCTACCTAATTCCATCAGAGCTAACAGAAAACTTAATAACCAGAGAGGCTCACAGAGGAGGAACATGGTGATCTGTTTTTGCTCATTTTTTTTTTACCCACTTCCAGACAGAAGAAATTAGATAAACTAAACGCTTGATTTTTAAAACTAAAAGCCTTCCACTTGTTCCTTTAGCTTTGAGCATAAGTGAAATGCATAATAAGACCATTCTTTCTTAATTTTTCCTACGTTTGGCCCAATAGCTTTGGGAATGGTCTCTTTCTGGCTTGATTGAAGGGGGGATATCTGCATAATCCCTAGAGCATCAAAAGAAATTGGCATTGAGGTAGATAGAGAGGATTCATCACCAGGAGGCATATATACTATATACACCCTTCATGTATGCATGTGATTTTTAAAAACACTACAAATGTTTTTGCGTGATAAAATGTATGACACATGCTAGCGTATTGTATTACCCTATGTCCAGTATACTACTAGTATTATTTAGAGTTCTTGTATTTGTACTTTTCTGAGAACCATGGTTAAGAATAAAAGGCAGAGGAAACTGATCACTTCCTTTCTCTCAATAATGTCTTACTCACCTATGCTTAATTGATTTATAAGCTCAGATAAAAACTAATTTCAAGAAAGCTGTGAAAGAGCAAAAGAAAAGCCCTGGCTTAATTAGTTAGTGAAGGAAGGCCTTGCTTGAAATTCATATCAACTTCACATTCTGCAAAGCAACTCATCCACATAAAAATAGTCAAAAAGGACTTCATTTAATTAGTGATATGTAGACTTTTGCATAGAAAAAGGTTACAAAGTAATGCAAAAAAAGACTAGGTACAGTAATTTTAAAACAAATATTTAAAAGTATAATTTTGCATAATGTTTAACATTCTTCTTTATTGCTTTCTCCACACAGCAGAGAAATGAAGTGCATAATAATACATGCTGTGTCTTTATCTTTCAAACATAAAATCTCATGTGCTCAATTTCAATGTAGTAAGAGATTATTTTGTCATTAAACAAAATAAAAAAACAAAACAAAACGAAACCAAAACACCATTATGTAGCACTAGTCTAGGCATGGACAAACTCTAATTTATGTACATCCCATTGCAAACATTCTTCTTGATTTGGGGTCAAACGCAATCTTGAGCTTTTTTAAAAATCGTGGCTTTCTGTTCCAAATGCTACCTATCCATCTCCCTGTCTCATCCCCTCCAGAAATGCTACTTCTCCCAACAGGATGACAAGGACAGAACACGTCATCGGGACAAAATGAAGAGGATACATGTGAGAAAACAGTCCAAATGAAACTGAATAAATTAGGCTACACTTTTACAAACTTGGGAGTTTTCAAGTTGGCATGAATCAACTTAGCCTCCGGCGGGCACACAGTAGGTAACTGCTCCTGGGTGTATTCTATAGAAGCATGGTTTCTCTAAGAAGCACCATATTCTGAGCCATGAAAGAAACAGGTGCCTGGGGGTTTGCAGACAAGGCAGAACGCTTGCTGATCTGAGCACTGAAGGAGTAATTGCTGATACCAGTGTATTGCTGCGCGTCACCACTTGGCAAGTCTGTACAAAGAAAGCAAACTGAGATAAAACTAGGTCTTTCAACCCGAAACTTATTTTCAGCAATCCTTTTGGCCAACAAAAACCTGCTGGTGCCAAGAGGATACTCTTCTCTGGCATTTGTACGTCTGCAGCCTAACGCCAAGTCTGCAGTCCCTTTCCCTGCTTAACCTCACGTCTACACTCGTCACTCATGTGCAATGTCCCATGCTCAGAACAAAACGTCACTAGCTCAGGCACTTGTGAAACAAGGCTATTTCCCCCTCCCTCCCCCCCCTTTTCCCATCTAGTTTCAAGAGAATTCAGATAGGGCCTCTTCCTTCTCCAACGTAGAGACACCGATGCAAGGCTGGATGGCACAGTCTTTTTCTTTCTTTTTTCTTTCTTTCTTTCTGGGACAATTCTACATGGAAGCAGGTGTGCAGTTCTCCAAAGCTGCTGACGTCAGGGACCAAGCAACAACCACGGGGGGTGGGGGGTGGGGGGGAAGAAAACAAATGGGTAATACCACATTTCCACGTGTGAGGGGTGAGTGCCTCAAATAGCTTTATTGTTCCTGGCTGGATCTGCAGACACCTATCCGCCTGGCTGCCTTCAGGGTGCAGATGCTGCCATGCAGGCCTTTCCGTTATCAGCGCGCCAAGTTCAAGGGCACCCTAAAAGGCGCCCACCTCTGTCCCCCAGGGCCGGTAAGGTTTACTGTTTGTGCCGCCGCCGGCCTGCTGGGGGCTGGCGGCGGCGGCCACGGCCAGGGGCGGGCTGATGGCGGCGGCGGCGGCCACGGCGGCCGCGGCGTTGGGGGGCAGCATGGGGAAGGCGCCCGCGAAGGTCAGCGGGAAGCTGTGCGCCGCGGCGGTGGCGGCGGCGGCGGCCGCGTGGACGGTGGCGGACAGCGACAGCAGCGAGGTGGACAGGGGCGGCACGCAGGGCGCCACGCTGCCCGCCGCGGGCATCCGCAGCGCCGAGTCGGCGTGGGCGAACGTGGCGGTGAGCAGCGCGGAGCCGTGCGCGGGGGGCGCGTCCGGGGCGGCCAGGCGGCAGGGCGCGGGCTCGGCGGGCTGCAGCAGCGCGGCGGGCAGCGGGTGGAAGGCGGCCGCCCAGTGGTGCGGGTGCAGCGGGTGCGGGTGCGGGTGCGGGTGGTGCGCCAGGGAGGAGGTCATGGCCGCGGCCTCGCGCTGCGAGGCGCACGTGCTCAGGTGGGAGACCAGCCGCGCCCGCAGCGGGTCCGCCGAGTCCAGGCCCTCCACCGAGCTCAGGTACCGGGCCACCTCCGTCAGGCACTCGCGGAAGCCGATGCTCATGAAGTCCATGGCCAGCGCGTGGGCATCGAAGTAGCCTAGGAGGAGGTTTGAGCAAAAGTGGGGGCAGAGAGAGAGAGAGAGAGAGAGAGAGAGAGAGAGAGAGAGAGAGAGAGAGAGAGAGAGAGAGAGAGAAGAAAAGGATTCAGTTACTAAGGAGGCCTACCAACCAGGTTCCACTCTGTCTTTGAGAAGAGTTGAAGCAGAACCACAATCCTTTCTGACAACATCGCCAGCTAGGTATAGCTGCAATTTGTGCAGAAGTCAAGAGAGTGTTAGAAAGTACACTCTGCAGTTCACAGGCATTGTGACATCCCTGGCGGTGCTACAGCTGTTCTTTTTTTAATTTTATTTATTTAATTTTATTTATTGATTTTGTACAGAGAGGAAGAGAGAGAGATAGAGAGCCAGAAACATGGATGAGAGAGAGTCATCGATCAGCTGCCTCTTGCACACCCCCTACTGGGGATATGCCGGCAACCGAGGTACATGCCCTTGACCGGAATCGAACCCGGGACCCTTCAGTCCCCAAGCCGACGCTCTATCCATTGAGCCAAACCGGTCCGGCATCTGCTGTTCTTGCAATGAAACTTCACAGTGTGTGTGTATTGGGGGTGGGGGACGAGATTAAGAACGTGCATGTTTCGTCGAAACCAGTTTGATTCAGTGGATAGAGCCTCGGCCTGCGGACTGAGAGGTTCCGGATTCGATTCCGGTCAAGGGCATGTACCTTGGTTTCGGGCACATCCCCAGTGGTGGGGGTGCAGGAGGCAGCTGGTCGATGTTTCTCTCTCATCGATGTTTCTAACTCTCTAACCATCTCCCTTCCTCTCTGTAAAATATCAATAAAATATATTTAAAAAAAAAAAAAGAAAAAGAACATGCATATTTCAAGTACTTCCAGGGGGAAAAAGTGGTGTTTCTCCTTCTGTATTGTGAACTAGTGAAATTCCCTAGTCGAATTTTTTCACGGTGATACAGAGTTCCAGGCTCTGTCTCTGTCACATGAGCAATAGATTAAAGGGTTTTTCTGAAACATCTACACTCTCTTGGCAGCGGCTTGGGGACTTTCGAATAAAGGACTTTTCTTGCCCCATCACTTACTGTATCTTAAATTAAAAAAAAAAATGATTGTTGACTCTCTGGCTATTTTAAAATCAATAAAATGAAAACATGTTGTCATTACTTGGTATGAAAAAAATCCAATAAAAACAAAATGTTTCATTTATCATCTAATCATTATTAGACTATCTTATTCTGTATCTCAAGCTCTTTGGCAAATAGTAGTCAAAATATTCAAAAGTCCTAAAGCTAGAATTCTAACTGAAATTTGGAGGTCCCCCCAAAAAAACACATCTGGAACAAAAATATACCCTATTGGAACAGTAACAACAGCACAAAGCTGATATAAGACTGCATCGTAAAAAGGGGAAGATGAGGACTTAGGCAGAGTTAGCAACAAAGTCCCTGGGATTAGAAGGAAAAGCTCTCCCTCAAGGAGCCGCCTCCATGGAACAGATTCCATGGGAGCGTCCTCAGGGTTCTCTGTGGGCCTTTGCAGACTCAGTCTCCCATGAGAGAAGAGACGGGAGGTGATCATCAGTGTAGACCGAGTTCAGAAATCCAGAGGGATTTAGAAATGTAGGTTACTCTACTAAATCCTGTCTAGAAACTGTGGCAAGATCAAGGTAGACTGTAAAAAAAATGAACCACCAGAATGTAACCCTCTGAGCTTCCAAGAATTTTCATGAACAGGCATGAAATAATTTGAAATTTGTGGTTTGCCAGCTACAGGTTGCTGTATATCATTGAGTTCTCTGTTGCATCTTAAGGAATAGAAATTATGCTAACTTCTATCCGTCAGGGAAATGACGATGAACAGCTGTCTCCTATGAATGAATCTTGGGCCAAAAATTACAGCACAGTACATAGCTCTATACAACATCACCTGTGCCACCACTGCTCTCCAGAGTTAAGTGAACAGACTCACACCCTTGTGAAGTGGACACCAGCACTGTTCTCACTTTACAGAGGAGGAAAATGGGGCTCAGAGACTCAGAGAGGGTTAGTAATTTACCAAGCATCACAGAGCAACTACATGACAGTGCCAGGATTTGAAAACGGGCAACCCAACTACAGAGTCCATGCTTTAAGACCACGGTTGGCAAACTGCGGCTCGCGAGCCACATGTGGCTCTGTGGCCCCTTGAGTGTGGCTCTTCCACAAAATACCAGGGCCGGGGCGAGTCTATTTTGAAGAAGTGGCGTTAGAAGAAGTTTAAGTTTTAAAAATTTGGCTCTCAAAAGAAATTTCAATCGTTGTACTGCTGATACTTGGCTCTGTTGACTAATGAGTTTGCCGACCACTGCTCTACGACATCAGCACACGAAGAGCCCTGAGAGCAGTTGTGAGCCTTGGGTGATATAAGCCCACACTGCCAGCCCCACTTCTTCAAGGTCCATGTACTCTTCAGCTTGGTGACCTGTTTAAGGACCTGGCAGTCAGGCCACTTGTATGTGCTTGCTTGGAAATGTGTGTTCCTACTCTATTCTGGTTTGAATTTTAGGACTGTTCAGGTAGCCAAGAATAGCAACCAAGACTCAACTTAGTTTTGATAGTAAGGCATAAGAACAATATTATTCTTTACAAGTATGTAGCTCAGGCCAAATATTTGGAATGTTGATAAGAATTCTCAGTCTTGTGGTTAATGATGCCCAGGGAGGCAGAGCAAACAAACAACTTCTCTTGCACCACCACTAACGCAATCGGTGCAGATGGAAACGTGGGGCTGCAGGGGCCTTAGAGCTCAGAGCACTAGTGTAGGCCTCATAGTGCAACAGTGCACTTTTCTGTGTCTGGTCACAGGGGAGGCAGTGGCCAACCGGGGCTGGATCCTCAGCTCTTAAGATTTCATCCATTCTCTTCTCCATTATGTAAGCACATTTGCATCCTATACCTAGGGTTACATTTTAATGAACAGGAATTTAAAAATTCATTCAGAATGGTTCCTTGAGAAGGTGCAACCAAGGGTAAGTCACACCACATGGGCTTCTCTGTACAATGATCGGCCTCCCTGACACACAAATATCGAAACAAAACCATAAGATTAGAGGCAATCTTTCCCTTCCCCAAACTTCCGTTAAATCAGAGCTAGAACTCTGTATGATGCCTCTGTCCCAAAGGAAGTGGCTCTAGAACTGCTCTCATGTTGTTTTCAGATTTTGGTTGGTCTTGGATTTAGAGGTGATGGCCAGGGCTGTGTTCCACAGGTCCTCCTCATCAGTATGGCCATAGTGGAGTTAAATACTGAACTACTTCCGTACCAACTGGTAAACAGTTACTTGTCTCCAATGCCCTTTTCCTGCCTTCATCTAGGGCAAACTATGACACTACATAGTAAAAGGCTGATGAAAAGCACCGAGAAGCTTCTAGAATAGAGGTGCAGCAGCACTTAGCCCCTTGTGGTGTCTTGTATTTACCCAGTTGTCAAATATATTAAACTAGTGACCAGATGCACAAATTTGTACACATTAAAAAGAAATTAATTAGAAGGTGGCCAGCAGGGCGGGACCTGGGCGAGAGGTGCCAGACACAACCTGGAGCCAACCCATGCGGTTCCTCTCTGGCATCTTCAGAGTGTGTGGGTCCCTCGGCAGGTGGGATCCCATAGCCTGGCCTGTGGGGATCAGGCCAAAACCAGCTCTCTGACATCCCCTGAGGTTTCCTGGAGTGTGAGAGGGCACTCTGCAGAGTTGCTGTCCTACAGAGTGTGGAATGCAAAAGCAAGTGTGCAGTAAATCAGATTCAGGGCCTGACAGTGCCCCAGCAACAACATAGCCCACAGCCGAAGGTGGAACTGCGTGGCCCTATGAGGAATCGGGCTCCCTCCTCTCTGGTTTCGGGGTGCATCATCTGAGAACCACTGCTGCCAAGTCACTGCAGCTCAGCAGCTCCTGCATTGAGCACCTGCCCCCTGGTGGTCAGTATGCATCATAGCAACCATTCTGTTGGTTTATATACATTTATAGATAACATCCTTGGCTAAGATGAATACCAAAGGGTTGTTTAAAGGGTGAAAAAGATACAAAAGGGTGAAATCCAGTCTAAGTGAGAATAGGGATGATGAAATCTGAATGAACATTATAGCTTTCCATCTCAAGTGTACTTTTAGCATGAAGTAAGGGCCTGTCCCTGACCCACTAAACAATTCTTCCCCAAATCACTGTGGAACACAGAGGACATCTCTCCAGGGAACCTCCTCCTGTTTGCTCTGGTTAGGAATGACTCTTCCATTAACAGTTTCCAGTACAGATTCACTACCTGCACTTCAGATGCTCTGTCTGGTCTGAATCCAAAACCAAGCAAAATCTGAAAACAACAATGAGAGTAATTCTAGAGTCACTTCCTTTGGAATATCTGCATTACACTGAGTTCTAGCTCTGATTTAAGGGGGGCTTTGGGGAAAGAGAAAGAAGAAAAAGAGAAAAGATTGCCTTTAACGTCCTGTTTATGTTTGTGTGTTTGTTTTGTCTTTCTGTACAGATTCCAGCATGTGCTGCTGAAGTCCCAAACAAATCTCTGACCAGGCTGCTGTGAATGAAGCTTTACTCCCACAGTATTATGAAAGCAAACACAAGCCCAGGGTCAAGTGCTTCTTTTGTTCCAGAAGTTCTTTCCCACGAGTTCAATCCTGCCATTAGCATTGATTTCCACAGCTTTAATCTGGGACCTCCTATCTCAGCTTGTTAAAGAACCGTTCAACTATGACTTCCTTACAATCTTGGGGAGGGGAAGGGAAGGGGGAAGAGGTGGAAAAAAGAGGTGGAAAGGGGTGAGGAAAACGAAGTCACCTACTTACCTTTACCCCCTGTTGCCTGAAGCATCTTCAAATGATCCACTGTCATTTGTAATATTTCAGCTTTTTCTAACTTTGCAGATCCCTGCATAAACAAGTAATAAAGTCTTATAAGTTCTATGGAAACAAAATTTGGGATATTTTATACTGGATTTTCAATTTTCCTTCTCACTAGGAAATTCTATGTTTAATTTTTTTTTCACAAAAAAATCTGAATCCCTTCCAAACTTTAAATGAAAACTCTAATTACTATGTCACACCCAATGACAGATAATTGCCATTTCAACCTTTAAAGGTTAAAAGATATAATAAATATTTTTATCATAAAAGTAACTATACTCCCCAATATTACTCTACCAAAATTACAGTTGCGAAAATCTCAAACTTTGCATCCAATCAGTTCCTTGATCAATATATACTTGATATTTTTACTTTGCTTGTTAATGAAAGCATATTTTATTTCATTATCTAATTATATAAAACATTCAGTAGTCCTATATAATACTCAAATCTAGATCAGTTGAATACAACTCTGGAGGATAAGAAAATAGAATCTCAAATTACTATTGAACCCTGACATGGTGATTTTGATTGAATAATTATTTGGTCTTGGTATTTTTCATTATACCAAATATTATTGGTATTAAAGAAGACATATGGTAGGATAATTTGCAATATTTACTCTCTGAAAGTGCCTGCCACATTTTAGAAGATTTACAGTTTCCAAATATTCAACATTCTTGGTTATATAATGGACATATCTCTTTTAATGATCTTATAACATTTTAAAATAAAATATTTTTACTTTCTAGCTAGAAAAATAAAAAAAAATAAAAATAAAAAATTCTAATAAGTCTTTAATTCATACTAGACCACGGGTAAGCAGAACCAAAAATAAAAAAGGGAAGACTTTTAATATGTTTTCCAGTCTTTACCAGCAGGTGTCACTGTGAATTCCAAGATCATAAATAAGAAAGCTTAATTTACTACTTATCCAGAAAACATCGGCAACGTGTAAGGATATTTAAACCCTTTCAAATAGTTCTTAATAAAATTATCTTTGAAATGTGTTTTTATATCCCCACTTTTTAAAATAAGGCAACTTCTGGAAACCAAATGAAAAAAAGTGCCACCTCAAACTGTCTCAGAGTGCTGTGGGTGGCTTCTAATTTCCTGGAAGAGCTAAATAATTAAATCAATATGTCTTTTTCAGAAAAGGAAATAGAAGTTTATTTCAGGTTCCTATGCATTACTTGTTTTGTGAAAATTAGCAGCTCAATGCCAGTTATTTAAACTGCTTGAATAAACACCCTTCTAATCATATTGTGACAGGGCCAGCTCACTACGGGTTGGTAGCCAAGCTCAGCAAATGGGAAAGTCTGTGTTTATGGTAACTAGTTGCCAAACAACTGAGGTTTTCTTTTAAGACTTGTTTTAAGTTGATATTTAAGAAAAGAAAGAAAGAAAAAGAACAACAAAAACCACACCAAACTGATGGCTCCTCATAGCTAGATATTTCAGTACGCGAAGTAAAAATCTCTCTAAATAATATTTTCATTTTCAGCCTACTGCTACTAATCAAAACTACAGTTTCCACATTACATGTACCTAATCAAAGGCAGTTTCAGCATATAGAATGGGTGCCTGTGTTTCTCTTAAAACTGTATAATCAATAGCATATTACATCTTGTACTTCTGTCAGTGCTCAATGTTTCCATGAAGATATACAGTAGTTTCAGTGAACGTGACTAATAACAAAATTGTAGTTTCTGGATAATTGCTGAGGGCTTTGTAATGTTTGTCTGGTTCATGAAATAAACAACAAAATAAACAAACAACTGCTGTCTTATACTCTATTTGAATTAAATTGACAGTATTTTCAACAAGGTTATGATGGCCACATTCTTTGAAAGATGCTCTGAGAAATCTGTGCCCATTCGCCATGGTGGCAGGAGGAGAAACTTTTCTAAAACGACAAAGAAAGATTTACATATTTGGCTTCCTACTCTGTTAAGTGTGAAAAATCTTTTTTTTTTTTTTTTTTTTTTGTAAAGGAATACTTGAATTCTGAAAAGGGCATATGGCTAGTTCGATTTTTACCAAACTTCCAAAAAGATGCTCCAAATTGAGCATTATTCTGTTAACCCAGGGATTAAAAATGAAACCGTGTGAGTTGGTAAATAAATTACATTAGTATAAATTATTTAGAAAAATAGAGCTGGAGATGTTACTTCCTGAGCTTTGGTAATTTTTAAATTAAAAAGCTTATTTTTCTTAAACTGTTTGAAACAAAATGAAATTTCACACACGATATCCTTCTTCTTCTTCTTCTTTTTTTTTTTTTTTTTTTTTTTTTTTTTTTTTTTTTTCTTTTTTTAAAGAATACCACATACATCTTGGTTTTAAACAAAACCACCACTGGTCCTCATAGAAAGAACAGAGAAAGCATGAACACTGTTATCCTTCAGGGGAAAATAAGCTCAAGAATGGAAATGTTTTTCAACTTCATGATGGATTATGTTTTTAATAGTTTTGCCACAACAAAGCATTTTATTGAAATCACTGCTCTGTGCCAGATCAGGGCACATACACCATTATTTTAATAAGCTTTAACGGGAACCCACATTCCCAGATGAGGGAGTCGGGTTTTTTGAGCTTTCTGGTTGGGGTGGTCAGGGGTGAGGATAGCTTACTTGTTTTTCAAAAGCAGTTGGCACCAGCCGCCTCAACTCGGATAAGCTGTTATTTATCCGATCTCGACGCCTTTTCTCTATTATCTATCCCAAAGAAAGCAAAACAAACGTTTATGAATACACGAATGATAAAATTACTCAGAATGAAAACACACACAACTGTTACACATTAGGCTGCATAACATGAAATAAAAAGGGGGGAAAAAATCACATACCCCTCTCCTTTTCTTTCTTGCCATAATCTGAGATGTTGTTGTTGGAGAATTCGATCTAATCACAGAGCTAGAACTTTGCCTAGGAAATAGGAAGAGTATGTCAGGTGCTCCATTAACATAACAATAGTTTCTTCTGAGTGTTGATGCCACCCATTAAATATTGAGAGTGATTTGCAGTTGAGGTCTGTGTTGCTTTATTCTTAATTCTTGCTTTACTCTTGCTTTCAGCCTCTATCTCTTTTCAAGTAGGAATGAATGGTGGCTTAAAAAAGAGAAGTTTTAATGCGTAATGTAGATGCCAAATCCATTGGCAAAAACATCCCTAAACTTTTATTAAGTTTCCTAATAAAATAATGATGGGCAGTCAGGGTGAGAAATTAAATATTAGTACTTCCTAGTGCCGCTCGTAAATGTTTCTTAAAACTCAACTTATCTCTAGCATCCTCCTCCTCCTCTTTCTGGTCAGACTGGCTGAACAAAGCAAAGCTATTTTAAAATAAAGGCCATGTTTAGCACCATTACCAAACAGATATACGATCGATAGTCACATGTCACACTTGTTGTCTCTAGATGCAATCTTTAAAATAAACACAAGTTATCTTACTATTTCAATTAGTCATATCTTACAATGGGAAAAAATGACAAATTTAATGTTTTGTATACTAATCTTCCAAAAGAATGCTCCAAAGTAAAAAATGCCACTGATAGGAACATGAAAATCAGATCTACTACCAGGTAAAGGTTTTACTTTGAAAGTGAAACTTGTACCTTTGCGCCCTCAACCTAAGCCTAAACCTCTAGGAGCTGCAGCTCGTCTTGAGTTTCCCAATAAAAAGATATTTTATACTGAGAATTCAATCAAATCATTATTTTGCCACTTAGCATTCCCACCATCCTTTCTAGTTTGTATCTATTACTCTTCATAATTCATGGGTTCTATAATTCTTCATGTTCTCAGATTTTCCAGCGTTCCTGCTATTTGTTCTTCCATCTTAGAAATGTTGCACGGATCAGGTTGTTATTACTTCATCTTCTCACGTCTGGATCTTATTTCTGAATGAACTGTCTTCCTCCTTCCCACCCATTCTCAACTGGCTTCGCCTTTCCCAGGACATCTTCTGTTTTTCTGTTCTTTTTAAAGATGACCAACACTTTAATCATTGGAAGATACTTTGTAAGCAACGTTTCATGTAAATATCTTTGCTCCTGCTGATAATCAGGCTTTGGTTTGTATGTATTAGAAGAACAGCATTGAAAGGGGGGAAAAAAACCAAAACAACAGTATCGAAAGTTTTCCAAAAGATAGGAAGAATTTTGCTCTCTGAGTGACAGTTGCAGATAAATAATGAAGGTGCTTCTGGGGGATGCCAATTAGAAGCAATTATCATTTGAGCTGCCTGACACTAAAATGTCTCGGTAATCTCCCCCTGTCACTGGGAAGTGGAGGTCTGGCTTCACTTTTCAAGTAGGAATGAATGGTGATCACGGCCCCGATCTTTTCCAGACTTAAGAACCAGTAATCAAAAGAAATAAACGCCCGAAACGATGCTTCTTACATCTGTCCCTCACTCCTCTACTGTCAGCCAAGACACACATGGCCAACCTGGATAGCGCAACCCACTTAGCCGGGACATTGCAAGTCTCTTTAATTTTCCCATAAAGCAACTTATCTTTTTTAGTTTCTTTTAAAACATCTTTTTTTTTTTTTTTTTCCCCTTTGCTCTTGGCCCATTTCGGCAGGGTCAGTGTCGGGGGACCTGTTTGCCAGCCGGCCTGGTGCTGACAGCCGGGCAGCATCCCCGGCCACCTCCCGCCCCTCCGGGCGCGTCCCGGTCCGCTGCGCTCCCCCACTGGGGTGCAAACCGACACCCCTCGCCCCACTCCACGCACGTCCCTGAGTTTCTCCTGCAAAACTTTCCCCTCTTCGTTAAGACGATGCGGAAAAGGAGCCTCGAGATCGCCCCGGAGCCGTCCTACACAAAGCTCCCCCCACGCCGACGCCCCGGGCTCCGGGCAGCGCCCGCCGCGCGCGCGCTCACCCGGAGTAATTGTTCTCGCTGCCCACGTCGATGGTCTCGTCCAGGTCGCTCTCCGAGGTGGTCTCCTCGCAAGGGCGCTTCATCGCGGCGGAGACGGCGCGGGGCGCAGCCCGGCCGGGCACACGGGTGCGAAGCGCGCGCGGCCCAGCGACCTCCCCGCCGGCCTCCTCCTCCTCCTCCTCCTCCTCCTCCTCCTCGCCCCCCTCCCCGGGCCCGGCAGGCGCGGCTCCCGCTGCGGCGGCGCTGGCGGCTCCTCCGGGCTGTTTCCCACGCCGCAGCCCGGCTCCGCGGCAAGACCGGCGCCGGGCACGCCCCCCCGGCGGGCGGGGCCGGGGCGCACGCCTCCCTCCCGTGGGGGCCCCCGGCGCCCCGGCGGGCCCCGCCCCCTCGGGCTCGGCGCAGCCCGCGATTGGCTGGGGCGGAGGGGTGGGGCCGCCCGCGCCGGCGCCCGCCTCCGGGCCGGGGCCGAAGCGTGGGAACCGGCTTCACACCTGGGGCGGCGGCGCTGCGCGCGGGAGGGACGGGCCGCGGCGGGCGGCCGGGCGGGCCCGGCTGCCGATCGCTCGCTGGGGACGCGTGCGGACCCGGGCGCGGGCGCCGCGAGGGCGGGCCGGTGCGGGGCGGGCTCGTGGGCCGCGGGCTTTGGCCCTTTTTCTACCGCAACTCACCCCCGCGGTCCGTCGGGGCAGCTTCAGCCCTGGGTTTGGGTGGAAAGCACAACCCCAGCGCGTGGCCCGGGGTGAGCGCACGGGTGTGTCGTGGGGAGGCGCCTGCCGCGGCTTCTCCCCGCCGCCCCACTCGGCTGTCCCTGGGCAGGACCCAAACTGCTTACCGGCTGACCCTGGCGGTCACATTTGCCCTCTGGGTTTTTTTTTTTTTTTAAACCTTAAATCAAAGTTATTTTTTCTCCCCGGCAACTCCCGAGGCTGCTTCTGCGGCCTCTGGGCTGCGGACAGATAAGGACGTGAGTTTCCGCGACCGGGTACCGAACCCCTGACGGTCGGGATGGTCTGAGGTTGCCCTCCCGCCCCCCTCCCCCACCCACGATTTTCGATTTGCTGCTGTAAGTCAGTTATTTCCATCCCCCCCACCCCCTCCTCCACTGGGACTGCGGATAGTGGATCCCGCCGAGTAGACCGTGCTTAGAGTCGTGTTTTTTATTTTGGTGGCCGGAAGGACTAGGGCGTAAAATGCGGGTATTTCAGGACACAATGTTAGTCGTTTTTTTCAAGTTCGAGTTTTTCCGGGCTTGGATTTATTCACATAAACCGTAATTTCCCACTCTCCCTGCTGATGTGCAGCGGTAGGTTTCATTAGAATCCGGGACATGGAAAACCGCTCTGGAAGCTGAATTTGTTTTCTAAATTTTGTTTTCAAATTCGTGCCCATTTTTCTTTTTTAAAGTGCATCGGGCACCGCGGGTGGTAGAATCTCCGGATGAGCTTTCAAAACATGTTTTCAGGCGTCTCTTTCAGGCGTCTTTTCGGGTTTGAACCGGTGCGTCTCCGCGGATGCGTCTCCGCTGGGGCAGCCGGGCTGGTCTGCTCGCCGCGGAGCCGCGGGGCCGGGAGGCCGGGGGCCGGCCGGCCGGAGGCTTCGCTCGTGGCGCCGGGACAGCTCGGTGCTTGGCGGATAAAAGTCTCCGGGAAAAGGGGCATCTGTCAGTCCCCACCACCTCTCGCCGGGTCCGAGCCATTTTTCCCCTGGGGATCCGCTGGGGCGTCCCTGGGACTGGCTCTCTCCCTCCCTGTCCCCGCGCCAGCGGGAGGAGAGGAGGAGAGGCCGGCGGGGCGGGGGGAGCTGGGCAGGACCTGCAGCCGGCAGCGCGCTAAGCTCTCATTAAACCCCAAACCCCTTCCCCACACCTCCATCCCCCCCCTTCCCCTCCGCATCCCCCTCGCATCCCCGCCGCGGGGCCTGCAGCCCGTGTGAACGGAAACCCGACACGACCCATCCCGACTTCGGAAACTCAACCCCGGGCCCGGCGCGCAGGCGGCGGGGCCGGGCGGGCCTGGCGGGGCCGGCCCGGGTCAGCTCGGGACTGCGGGGCCCCCGGGGGCGGCGACACCTCCCCCCGCCCCCCGCCGGGCTGTGGTTCAGGGCGGGTCCGGCCTCCGCCCGCTCCGCACCCGAGTCCCCAGCGCCGGCGCGGAACCCAGCAGCCGCCTCCCGCCCGCCGCGACCTCCCACGACGCCGCGGCTCCCCCCTCGCGGCCCCCGACGGGGAGCGGGGCGCCCGCGGGAGGGGCCGTGGCCGCTTCGCTCAGGCCGCGGCGGGATGCGCCAACTCGGCCTTCGGGGCTTCCAGCCGCCGCTTCTCCTGAACGCGGGTGCCCGCAGGTGCAGTGAACGCTCCCCGCCGAGCAAATTAGCGGTCACTTTCCAACGTCAAAACTTGAGCCCCTCGCTGAAAAAAGAAAAAAGAAAAGAAAAGAAAAGAAAAGAAAAGAAAAGAAAAGAAAAGAAAAGAAAAGAGTTCTTCCTCTCTTCCCCTCCCTTCCTCAACCACCACCAACATACTGGTGTATTTAATTGCAATAACTTAGAAAAATTGCAAATAGGGAAAAGGTTTACTTGCAATAAAGTATCAACGGGGTATAGTTTCCCCTTATTTTTCTTAGTAGTCTTAACTGCTTTAACTATCAGGGACGTTCGAAATTATATATATATATAATATATATATATATATTATATATATAATTTCGAACGTCACTATATATATATATATATATATATATATATATATATATATATATATATATATATTCGTGTATATATATCAGGGACGTTCGAAAAGTACACGTGGATTTGAGGTCGCCTAAAATATTTTATAAGCAAAGAGGATCGTATTCTACAAGCGTCTAGACCGTTCTTGGTTGGTACATGGTAAGCGGCATGTAAGTCTGTTACATAGACGCACGCATAGGGCAAAAGACATGGGTGCTTTGAACACCATGAAATGATTAATATGCTCGCTCACCCACAAAATACTTAACCGCGATCAGGCAGCGCGGAAATTTTATCCATCAGTCTTTTATTCCCCTGGCGGAGTCCATCCGCCTGGCCCCTGGTTAGGCTCCTGGTCTGGTCTGTCTCCCCTGCCAGCGCCTCCCGGGCCGGAGGGAGAAGCAGGGAGGAAACTCCAAAGCGCCCAGCATAAGAGCGGTCAGAACGGCCTGGGCTGCAGGGGGCTGAGGGGGCGTGTAGGGGGTGGGGAGTGTGTAAGCGGACAGAAAGAATGGAGAAGATGAGGGAACCGAGGGGTTTCCAGCCTCCCGCCCCTGAGCCACCTCCTTCTCAGCGAAAGCTGGACGCGGCTCCCTCAGCGCCCGGGCAGGAGAAAAGACGTCCGTCCGCGCGGAGAGCAACCCCACTTCTTGCCTCTTCAGAGATTTGTACAGTGAGATAATCACACCGAAAGATACGAGGGAGTTTTCTAGAAACGAAATGACATTAAAAGAAAGCGCAGGATTAGGGACCCAAAAGGGAATGAGGGAGGAGGGGAGACTTGGGCGCCTTCCCGAAATGGGTCATCTCGCGGGTGTTTTGTGTTTAATGTGATTTAACTCAAGGGTGTGAGAGCGAGGTATCCAGTGCCAAGATCTGGAAACATCTGACTCTCAATGGCTCTTCTCCCTCCCGTGTAATACAATAAAGTTACGGTTTCTGCACCTGTGTTAAGTTTGGCGATCTTGACCAAAGCTTATTTTGTCCCACACATTTGTTTTCTGTTGCACAAATTACCGCAGTTCTAAAATTCCCCTTGCAGCATTTTGGGAACACACGTGGGGTCCTTTAACATTCTCCTTGATCTGCTTTTTTCTTCAATCAGCACTTTGATTTTTCAAGATCAGTGGTCACATTTCATCTGTGGCTTCTCTGAGTCTTTGGAGGCACAGCTCCCAATTACTTAAAAAAGTTTCTGGTCATTCCAGTGTTTGGGTTCTCTTAGAAAGTCACCAAGGCATGACACCACTTAGAAAAAAAAAGTCTTAGGTTAGTTTCTCAGTGAAACACAGGCAGCTCTGCTATTTTTTTTTAATTGTTAGTCTAAGAAGCCTCAATGCGCATACTTTCTATTCAGATCCATACTTTGCCTTATCTGAAATATGACAACTGCTACACAGTTTTTGGTGCAAAGAGAAGACAAGAAGGTTGCCCTAAGACGTACTATTCTATTTTCAATGGCTGGCGCAGACAGCACCCACCATGCATCTGTAGGCAGTCTTGCTGGGCCGCTTCCTTAACCATGAGGCTGTTGAGAGCGGGCAACACGTTCAAGTGTGTGTGAGCACACTGCACCCTGAGAGTGGAGGCCAAGGCAAAATCCTTGTAAATTCCAGTACCTTTCTCAGCATCAAGCTGGCATCAGGCAGGCCAACCTGAGGTCACTGTGTGACACATATTTTCAAGCCAGTAGAGCAAAACAGAGCTGAAAACAAGGGCAAACTGAGGCCCTCCAACCTTGGAGTCATCTAGGAAAGGAAACTGCGTTACCAGATAACAATTATCCTTGCCTGGTCAGTCACACAAAGGGCAGCGTATTTCTTGGCTTGCTCCAATAGGTGCTACTTATTTGTTTCATCAGAAGTTCCAAAGTAGGAAATCTAAGACCCAGAGCCCCCTTTCTGGGAGGTTAGAATGTTTAAATCGATCTCTGTTATTAGGGGGCGATTTATGTAAGAGCTTTTATTTCATGAGTGGTGTTCTTGGTGCTCAGCGCAGGCCCAAGGATGAAACTACTTTTATTGCAGGAACTTGAGAAGAAGATTGCATAGTTAAGTAACCAGTTTTCCTAGGAGCAGCAGTCAAAACACTCCCTATTTTAACTTCCTCCTTGTGAGGGTTAAATTGATGTTTGCAGGCTTTTCTTTTAAGGAATTAAAAACAACAACAACAACAACCACCTTCCATTTTCTTCATTTTGGTTTGATTGTCAACTCCCCCTATCCCCGTCCCCAGGATACAGTTAGATCTATCCATTTTTTTTTTCCATGAAAATCATCTTTTAAAATGAACTACAACCCTGGCCAGTTTTGCTCAGTGGATAGAGTGTTGGCCTGCAGTCTCAAGGATCCTGCAT